TGGCAATGAGACAGACCTTTTAAACCTTTACGCAGCTGTTCAAATACAACATCATTGTCAGGTTAAAAGCCTGGCGCCTCTAACTGTTCCGGGTATGGGATGCCGGCCGGCGAAGCCCAAGGTTTAAACATTACCTTTCCGTAGGGGTGGCTGTTTTTAAGCTTGAGGATGGAGGGGAGGGGGTGAGGAAAGCAGGAAAAAAAAAAAAAATCCAACTTTTGACTCTAGTCTGCTACCGGTCCTGTTCAAAGCTAACAGCCACGGACCAGCACCCCAAAAATTGTTTTATCAGAAGGTGGAGATCATGATCCCGGCCGCAGTTAAGCGTGCCCAGGGCTGGACAAAGTGCCCGCTGCACACGCTCTCGGCAGGCGCCCTGACGCCAGCCTGGTGCTCCAGGACTGTCGTCCCTTTGCATCTCACCCTTTGCTGGAACTCGGTTGTCCAGTTCTCCCTATCCCCACTCGTGAGGCAAGACTGTTCAATCTAATCGGGAATTTTATGCCCATCAAATGCCCTTTCATAATCTTTATTTATACATGAAGAAAACATTCAGGTTAAAAACCAGCAATTCCTCGCGGAGCGGGTAGATGTGCGGTAAGCCAGCACAAGCAGGATCTGCCTTCCGAATTTGGGGGCCTTTCTGTTTCACCTCTCAGGGGCTTCGGGCTCTAAGTCACCCCCATGTTAGATTTGGCTTGAAATAGTTCTTCTTCATTCACAGAAAATCTGTGTATCGGCTATAATTTTGAATCTATTATCACAAAATTCTTTTATTCTTTCTTCAGACCAGTTCCTTGAGGCCAGAGACTCCAATATTTCAGAGGAATTTTGTAATAAAAACGGAGCAAAACAGAAATAATACAGGAGAATGATCTGGACCTGGGAGGATGGAAAGTTTGGCTAAGACTCTAAGGCTAGGATGGAGCAAATGGTATGAAAAGGCAGTGGCTTTCAAGGCCAGCCTGTATTTTGCTTAGGAGTATTTAATGTAGCTGCAAAGCTACCGTTTTCGATCATCTTTAGATCAGTTGGAGCAGTTACCATTAATAATAAATCAATATTGCTCTATAAAGGAGATGAATACCCATATTTGTACCAAGACATCCTTCTCCCTGGCACAGCTCTTTCCTGAGAAAAATTAATAGCGTCGCTTTAGCAAGAAATTAGCATTTGTAATCAAGAAGTGGCTTGCATCTGCGCTCTTCTGTCACCAGGAAGAACAGTGACCCTGGGCCCGAGTAGACCTGAGGACTCCTAGGTTGGCCCTGAATTTGGGCCCTGAGTGGCCTCAGGGCTGTGCCATTCTTTGGGGGCAGAGTGGATGGGGACAAATTTTAAAGGTTGCTTCCCCAGGGAGCCCCTCCGGGTTGCACTGTGCCCCTTCCAGCCAATGTGAAAAGAAATCAAGGGGGCAAATGGGCAGGCTGTGGAAGCCACCACCAACTCAGTGAAGAGTCTGTGGAGACTGTGTGAAAGGGCTGGCGGCTTGGGAGTCTTCTTTCCATTATAGACACAAAAGACTCCTACTTGGCGCACTTTCCCTCCACTTCAGGATCTGAGATCTCGGTGATTCAAGATACGTGGCCACACTCCATGAGCCCCACAGGCTCTGAACAATCAGGAGGGGTCGGGTCTGCAACCCCCCAGAAGTCCTGGCCCAATCCTCTGTCCTTTCTCAGGCCCGTTTGGGCGCTGCTGGTAGGAAAGGAACTGCAGACTGCTTAGCGCCCGTTGTCTGAGGAAGGCTGCCAGCCAAGGCCAAGGGGCCCTGAAAGGCCACACGCACCCCTGCTGGAGCTGCCTGAAGAGGAACACAGTGACATTTGGGGGGGGGAGGGTTCCCTCCCCATCTGGACTGAGACCCAGCTTAGGCTCTGAGAAATGTCACTTCACAATAGCTAAGCAGAACCGGCGGTCAGACGGGCAGGAGCCGGGGGTGCCCGTGGGGATCACCTATGCCTCTGGCTGGCGCCTCACTGGGGGGTTCATGGCGCCCCAACCTTCACTGAAGCTGATGCCAGCTCCCAGGGTGGACCCAGGGCCTCTGGTCCAGGGTTTGGAGAAAGGAGACAGAGACAGCAGGGCCCAGGAGGCCAGCACTAATTCTGGGGGTTGCTGGCGCTTCAAAATGAACTTTGGGAAAGAAAGGACAGCCACCGTCCCTTAGAACAGCCCATTCGTGTCCTGGAGCCCTCCCTTTTGGACAGAGGATGGCGACACAGGCCCTCCCCAAAATCAGGGGCTTTGCAAAAGGGGGATGGGGGGCCAGGAGGGCATGCAGCAAGAAGACTGCTTTCAAGAGCTGGTGCCAAAATCAAACTCCATGCTCAAAGCCAGCAGGCGGCTGCGAAGACTGTCCAGGGTTCTGTCAAACGCAAAGCTCGTTTGCTTCAAATGCAATCCCCATTCCGCGCCGCCTTGCCTCGTAGTATAAACGTTTCCCGGGACAGCCTGCCGCTTCCCGCAGCCGCATCAGCCCAGCCTGGCCCAGGCGCCCCAATTCAGAGTTCCGCCTGCGCTTCTGGCTACCAGCAGCCCCGGCTGCCAGGCATGGCCGTGTTGGGGGGCACTCCCTCGCCCAGAACGACCCCCTCAGTCCCGACGCGTCTCATTTTCTCTGAGACCACACTCAGCTAAGTTGACGGTGCCCCGATCTGTCTTAAACAAAAGCCTTTTAATCATCCCAGGCGGTCGGAGAGCGTAGGAGGCGGACGCTGTTTTGGGGAGGAGTTGGTCCTACCCTCACATCGTTCTCCATACTCAAACCAACAAGAAATTAATTTCTCTAATTTAATTAACTCTCAGTGGCATGACCTATTTGGAAATGTACATATTGGTCTTTAAAAAAATCTCTCCTTGACACCACCAGGTTATACCAAGGTATTCTTTGCAACGGCGTTATCTTTAAGGAGACAACGATTAGGTGACTGTCTGTTTCAGGAATCTGGGTAGCTCCCTTTTCTCTGTCTTTATACAACTTCCCACACTTCGTGGCTGCTTAGAACAAACAAACAGCAAACAAATACCTTAGTGGCCGCCTGTTTCTAATGGGCTCAGATTGCCTATCAGAATCAGTATTGGAAAGATAGGGTACCGCGGCGTCTCCGCCAAACGCGGCTTCTGGAACGTGAGCACGCCCCCGTGTGGCTCTCCAAGGCCATGCAAGCGGGAAATGGTATCTCTCGGTTCGGCTTACCTAAGGTGGTGGACACACAAGCTTGCTACATTTAGACGCAGTTAAAAAAAAAAAATAGATGGAGAGAGAAAGAAAGAAAGCAGTTTTAAGCTCCTGCAACGATCATACTACTAGGGCACTGACATTTTAACGGACGCCCAGAATTCCACACAAAGAAATCCCCTTCCGAACGAAATTATTCAATTGTAGGCTTTGTTTCTCTTGCAGTTTTCACCAAAGGTTGAGAGACACTTTGGAAAACAATATAAATATCTTTAGTTTTGTTCCATATCATAGCAACTGCAATAACTTATCTGACGGTGCAACAGTTTTTTTTCAAATATAGCGAAGGTGTAAATCTGACTAAAGCTTCCGCTTTCAAATGCCTGCTTTGAAAGCCGTGGTTCTTCATTAGAGCAAAGGGGAATGCTGTCTATGACCCCCCCCCAAAAAAAACCCACCTCAGTATATCCTAACTGTATTAAAAAACATGCTGGTAGACACTTAAATCTAACCAGTATTTTAAAAAGAAGTCAACTGCTATTGAATTACACAAATGTTTGAAGGGAAATTAAGGTTATTGATCCTGAAATTAGGCATTTGCTTAGATTTATGGTGAACCCCTGATATGATGCTGTGTGGTCATAAATGTATGTGGGGGTCTGAATGTGTGTAAGCATGTGTGTTTGAGAGTGGGTGGCGGCTGAATATCACAGAAGAACCTTAAGGCGCCTAATTATTCAGAAAGGTTAAAGGTGATGACCTTGACATTTTGGAAGTTCAAAGGCATACACTTATGCACTTATGTTTTTCCTCCTCCCCCCCCCCCACCAAACTTTGGCAATTAAAAAAATTTTGCATTTGGAAATGTATACCTCCTCTGAGGATGCATGGGGTACTGTATATCTTATGGATCTTTTTTCTTTTTTTTTTTTTTTTACTTTCGGCTTAGGAGAGGTTAAGAGTCATGATTCACTTTACTTTTTTCAGAGAAAGAGATGCTTTTCTCACTCCTCCAGTTTATTGCACATTGCGGAAATCTCTTTTGGGCCCACCAGAAGGTGTATAATATAACCCAATTAAGCTGTTTAGAACTTTGGCTTTTATGGTGTTGTCTAGACAGTTCAAGGTTTTGTAAACAGCCTGGCCTGGCCCTGCAACATAAAGTGCAGTTCAGCCCCCACCACATTCTTTAACTTGAAGCGATAAATGCAGTGAGAAGTGGGTCTGCAGCCTCAGGCCCTATTCCAGGGAGGGGTCTTACCTTCTCTACCTACTGACACTAGCAAGAATCCCAAGCCCTCTCCACCACTGGTAACTACCTTTTAGCAAATTATCTTTTTTTTCAATGAAGGTTTCCAATTTTGGCTTCTTTTTTTTAAGGGACCCTGGCTCCTTGACACCTTGTTAAGAGTAAATTTAGATTTCTAACAAGTTTTTAAAAATGGTTTTTGTCTTTTCAAAAATTCCAAGTTCACTAAACTGGGAATGGGGGGAGGAGACTTCCTTCATAGGTTCCTGCTGCCCCAGCCTCATTGCCTGGAGAAAGCAGCACCAGAATGGCTGGGTCACATCCTCAATTCAGAAATTCATCCCTAAAGTGATTTTTCAAACCAGTGTAGCCTAGACAGGGTGGGAGAGAGCTACTCTTATTTCAGTGGGATTAAAAAGCATTTCACTTGATTTTCAGTTGCATATGGGAGAAGGTTCTGGCCACTAAAATCCCCTAATCAGACACTAAAATTCTTTCAAGAGGAAAAAATCATATATTGTGTTGAAGCTGTAACCTCCATTTTACCAGAAACCATTTATTCACACAAAACACAGTGACTTATGCCTTGATACGACAGACCGACAGACCGAAGATACATTTCCCAGAGTTTAAATAATCTGCATTCACCAAGGGGGGATGGTCAGGTCCCTTAAACTCAGAACAAAAACAAGCGCCTTCCAGCCCAGCGGCCTAACTCTCTACAGATCCCACAGCGTCCCCACGGGGACTCAGAGAGAGGGAGGGAGAACAACAGCACATTGGCGGTAAAATTGTAAAGGGACGTTTGCATTTACCATTTTCCCCTTATTAGGATCCATTCGGCCAAGTCCCCGGCCTCGTCGGCAGGCAGCAGTGGTCGCTGGGAGGTCCCGAGTTGACCATGGGAAGGAATCGTGGAGTTCCACAGAGAAGAGGCGTCATTAAACCCAAGAACATTGGGCCTGCCCAGGGCAGGCTGGTGGGGAAGTGGGTGGGTGAGTGGGGCTCGGGAAGAGGGGTGCTTCCTGGAGCTCTCAAAATAAGGGGTTTCCAGTGAAATACTGCAGACGGTCTCTGTTCAGTTTCTTTTCTTTCATTCTGCGATTCTGGAACCAGATTTTGACTTGCCGGTCAGTGAGGTTGAGCATCCGAGAGAGTTGGAGTCTTTTCTCTTTGTTTATGTACACGTTAAAGAAAAACTCGCGTTCCAGTTCGCGGATCTGGTACTTGGTGTAGGGACAGCGCTTTTTCCGGGACCGCTGGGGGGCCACTGCAAGGCAGAGAAACCAAGAGGTGAGAGAGGCCGCTGGCTGCCCACTGCAGCCCGCCCACCGGCCCAGGCCCGCGCGAGAGCCAGGCCTCGGCCCGTTGGGGACGTCCCCTGCCGCCACTGAAAGGCCCTGCCTGAGTCGTGGGGGATGATATATGGGCGGGCACAGGAGAGAGTGCGGGCGTGGACCTGTGTTCACGCCCGGACGGAGACACACACACACACACACACACACACACACACACACCCTGGCACGGAGGTGGAGAAGCAGAGGGTAAGGCCGGCTCTGAGTTGGAACCCGAAGGGAGAGAAACACGAGCGCGCCCGTGCATCTGCTCCACTCCAGCCGGCAGCGCGCGTCAGCCAGAGGCTTGGATAAAGTCCAGTTCAAGGATCTCCCCACCCCACCCCCCTTAAAAGCAGGAGGCTCGAGCGTCCACATTCACAAAGTGGCTTGAAATCTCCCCTCCTCACTCCATGGTCTCTAGCAACCCCCACCCCCCCAAACTGGGGAAAATCTCTCTGCAGCGATTAATGTCCCCTTCGAAGTCTACCTTAAGCCCACCTAAATTGGTTTCCTATCGTAAACACACTTTACAACGGCCCGGGAAATCTTATAGGATGTATAAACCCCTTCGAACGCTTATAAAGTAGCACAT